GCAGATCCGCTTCCGCGTCGGCGGTGGCGACGCCATGGAAGGTGCCGCCGGAGACGATTTCCTTCTCCCACCGGCGGTCGTCTGTCTCGACGTGGTGGAGGAGGACGTGGCCAGATCCAGATCCATCTACTGCGATCAGTGCCGAGTTGTTGGTGAGTTGACTCACTGACTCGTCGTTTGATTGTCTCTGCTCTCCTCTCCTGTAGAACGATCTAGATACCGCAACCGATTCTGGGACGTGCTTTCCGGTTCTCCGCCGGTTGCCCGCAGTTTTTTGTTAACTTACTGACGGAGTTTTGTTTTATTTATTCATTTATTTTTAATTAAATTTATCGGGAAGGTAGTCGTTATAAAATCGCGAGATGGAACTACATTATGACGAATGGATGAGTGAACGGTTAAGTAATAACAAGGAAGGAACAAGCATATAATAAATCGTAATCGGTAAATTATCGCGATAAGATATGGAGGGAAAAAGAGATAATAATGAAAGAGGATGATGTGGGGCCGGGGCCCACGATGCTTGATGGGAAGTGGGTGTGTGGAGTTGGACACGTGGCAGGCACTGACGTGGGTGTCTGTTTAGCTGTTGGCGTTGCGTGACAGCTTTTCCGACCCCACCCTTCCAACTTGCAAATCAGTATAAGACTGATGGAACCATTTTCTCCCCTTCCCTGCTTTCTTATTATTATTATTATTATTATTTTGATTAATTATTTTGATAGAAAAAATAATTCTTCGTTGGTTTTGACTGTCTGGATTCATTTGACTTGTGGACCCATTAATATTATCGACTTGTCTAGTCTCTGAGAGCTTATTATTATTATTATTATTATTTTGATTAATTATTTTGATAGAAAAAATAATTCTTCGTTGGTTTTGACTGTCTGGATTCATTTGACTTGTGGACCCATTAATATTATCGACTTGTCTAGTCTCTGAGAGAAAACAACGTGGTGCTTGAGTAATTCGTTCTGTTTGTTTATTTATTATGATTTGTTGTGGTGGTTAACGTAATCGTGGTGTAATTGTGTATTAGGGTGGAGTGGGCATCCGGTGTGTGGGAAGCGATATCATTTTATAATAAAGTCGGATGGCAATTCCATTGGCGGCTATCACAAACCCTGTATCTGCTGTGGAGATGTCCTCTATTTGTCTGAATCCAAGTGAGCCTGAGCCCTCTCTCTGTTTTCTTTTATTTTTTTATTTAAATTTTTTTAAATTCAACTTCAATTTCTGTGTTTTACATACATATATAATTTATAATACATTACATACATGCAGGTGCAAGTCATGCAATCTTGAAACAAATACAGATGACGTGGAAGATTGGGTTTACAGCCAGTTGGAGAATACAAGTCATCTTCTCCACGGGGTTATCCATTCAAATGGTTTCGGTCACCTTCTCAGGATCAATGGCCGGGAAGGCGGCTCCAGGTTTCTCTCCGGTTCCCATATCATGGACTTTTGGGACCGCCTTTGCAAGCTCCTTGGAGCCAGGTTTGCTGCTTTTTTCTTTTTTTTGGGAACTACTAATTGCTTTTCGTTTCCTTAGAATTAAATTTAATTAACGGCTAGCTTTTAATCACTGTATATGTAAATGATAATGCGGAAGGAATGCAGGAAAGTGAGCGTGATGGACGTCTCGAAGAAGTACGGGCTGGAGTATCGGCTGCTTCATTCCGTGACAAGAGGGCATCCCTGGTATGGCAACTGGGGTTATGAATTCGGTGCCGGCAGCTTCGCTCTCACCCTCGATTCCTATAACTCCGCTGTTCAAAGCCTCTCGGGCCTACCTCTGTCCATCTTTTTCTCTCAACACCAGAACCAGAACCAAGGCCTTCTCGACGTCATCTCCCATTACCAGTCCCTTTCTGAACGCGACCTTCTCACCGTCAAAGACCTCTTCTCCTTCGTGTTGAATTTGCTAGATGATGCTCGTAAGAACAACCCCTCCTCCTCCTCCTCCAGGACTGATGTCTTCAAGCACCACCGCGCCGCCGGCACCTCGGGAGCAGTCTTCTTGCCTTGGTGGACTCGGAACGATATCGACCGAGTCGAAGAGGCCATGCTCAGAGTGCTGCGTGCGGTTTCCGGGGCCAACTGGGTCAGTTGGCGTGCTCTCAAGGGTGCTGTCTGCAAGGTCGGCCCTCCGGAGCTTCTTGACTACTGCCTCAAGGAGCTTGGAGGGAAAACTACGGTGGATGGGATGGTTGTTAGTGCCAGATTGAATCCTGATACTGGAGCTTTTGAGTACCGGTTAGCATTCATTCTTCTTATGATCAAGGGCTTCTGTCTTTAAAATTTAGTAATGCTTCTTCTTTTTTTACTACTGTTACGGAATGGATAGCTGGCTTTATGTGTGCGTCTAGGGAAAAAGAGTTTGCCGGTAGAACCGTAGAAGCTTGTTCATTATCTTTATGCATGCTCTTTCTGTTTTACGAGCTTGTAATACGTTGCACCCTCTATTTTGTCAGACTGGAGCTTGGAAGGGTTTCAATGAAAGGAAGCGCTGATTGCATTGGGGTTTCTGTTTCTAGCACAAGAGCCGAAGAACGTCTCCTGCAGGACCTCAAGTACTTGTACGAATGCTTGCTCCACCCCCGAACCATGATAGACTACATACCTCAGGCGACGAGGGATCTTGCAATTAGCTCGGCTGAGAAGCTACTCGACTGCAAGCAGTTTGTGAAAGAGTATGAAACGGAGAAGATATCGAACACCAGCCCTTCTTTTACACTCCTTTCATGCCAAGTTGAACTTGTTGATGAGATTGAAGAAATTTCGACAATACCACCGCCAGAACTTGTTATCCTCTCTGCAAACGCTACCGTGTCTGATCTGAAGCTCGAAGCGTCGAAAGCTTTCCAAGATGTATATCTGATGTTTAAAAGATTTCATGCTGATGAGCTGCTTGACTATAGCGGTGTTGATGAATCCACCCAGGTCAAATGCTTGTTAGGTTCAACGGGATTTGTTCGCTTGAGAGGCAGGTGCCATGTAAAACACGGCCTGAGCAGGTTTAGGATGGAGAGGGGGGTCGAAAGGTGGACGGTGGACTGCAGCTGTGGTGCGAAGGATGACGATGGAGAGAGGATGTTGGCGTGTGATGCTTGTGGCGTGTGGCAGCACACCAGATGTTCCGGCATTTCCGACTCTGAGTTGGTGCCTGCAAGATTTGTTTGCCGCAGATGCAGAAGCGCCCTCCTGACACCTAAAACAGGTGCGTTTTGCAAGGATGCAGTAACAACTAAGGTGGGCAATAGTGCTAGTAGCTGCGTTGATAAGGGTCTGGCTGCTCCTGATTTTAGGCTGTGAATGTGAAAAAGAAAAAGAGGCAACCCTTCCTTCTGGTACTGCATTGTGTTGGACTGTCGGATCTTCAACGGTTTTACGTACTTGTTTTATTCTGGCAACTTTTGGGATGGAATCTGATGTCAGAAAGGAATACTGGGTGGAAGGAAACATTGAAAGTGGTACAGATTAGATTGGACGCTTTTGAGTTTTGGGATGGAAGTGAGTTTCTCGGTAGGGCGGGGCCTGAATCGACTTTGTACATAAAAGAAGCCTGCCCTGCCCTGCCTTTTCAACAATGCGTGGCGGGTTGTACTTGACCTTTGTTCTCTGAGACCTCCTTTTATTCCCCCTTGATGATTTCCTACTGATGGCTGATGGCACAAATCATTAAACTAAATGTAACAAAGAAAAAAAAAACAGAAAAAAAAAACTAACGGTAATGACCATTTGTAGATTATTTGAAGGGGGGGAAAAAAAAGTTGATCCTTTGCATTGCCTAAATTCTGACCAAGGGTGAACCCTATGATTCATACGTCATGGGCCAAGGGCTATTTTTTTTGTTCTTGGCGGTTGAAAATTCGCTTCTTTTTACGGTTGTCGAATTGGAATTATATGTTTAATGCTCGGTGACTTGATTATAAACTGTCGATCGCCTTCTGATAAGAAGAGGAAGAAAAATGTTCTTTGCTTGAGCTTTTCAACGAAGGAAGTCACTCCGCTGGGAAATGACGAAGAAGTTTTTGGATTTCAATTTTTGTTCAATCCAACAATTTACCGAACATAAGATAGGATTTAGCCATATCCAACCCATTCCAAACCTCATATAGTTATGTTGACGGCGAAATTTCGTCAACAGGGTTACGCCGAAATATCTCTTGGTATCATGTTGGGTTTTTGGTCTAATACTGGTTATATACTGAAAATAATGTTTATAAACTATTCGTGTAAACTATGTGGTGAAGGAAATATGAATGTAATGCCTAAATGAAAGGACACACAAAGTTTATAGTGGTTCACTTTGTTAATGAAAAGTTATATCCACTGTGTTTTCACATATATTTTCTCTTACTTTTAATTACATGTAGAGTGAGGAAGAGAGAGAGCCCTACTGTTCGGGGCTTTCCCCCCTTTTATAGCTCAAGTTTACTTCAGGAGTGGTTTTTTCTGTAGGCTTACCTACTTGAGTGCCTACTACCCTATGGGTCTAGACCCATAGCCTGTTAACAGCTTTTGGACTGTTCATTCATCCAGTTTGTCTCTTATTACGGCTCTGCAGATTCTCCTTTAATCCTCCACCGTCCTTTAAAGGGCAGTTTAGGGGCTTGTAATTAATGCATATTACTGACATTCTTCAAACCAAGACGCAACTCCCTTGTCTACTCAGGGGCTTTTCTCGGGACGTGGACCCATGTTTGTGCGGTCGGCTGTACAAAGGGTCGACGATACAAAGGGTCGATCTTAAGAACCTACTTAATGGAGGCCTCTCCTCCTTGGAGGGGTTGGCCGTTTGGATGCCCCTTGGGGCTCCTGATAGATTTAAGAACCTGTTTAATGGAGGCCTCTCTTCCTTGGAAGGGTTGGCCATTCAGATGCCCCTTGGGGCTCCTGGCAGATTTAAGAACTTGCTTAATGGAGGCTTCCCCTCCTTGGAGGGGTCAGCCGTTCGGAGGTCTCTCCTCCTTGGAGGGGTCGGCCGTTCGGATGCCCCTTGGGGCTCCTGGCAGATTTAAGAACCTGTTTAATGGAGGCCTCTCCTCCTTGGAGGGGTTGGCCGTTCGGAGGCCTCTCCTCATTGCAGGGGTTGGCTGTTCGGATGCCCCTTGGGGTTCCTGGCAGATTTAAGAACCTACTTAATGGAAGCCTCTCCTCCTTAGAGGGGTGGTCGGCCGTTCGGATGCCCTTTGGGGTTCCCGGCAGATTTAAGAACCTGCTTAATGGAGGTCTCTCCTCCTTGGAGGGGTCGGCCGTTCGGATGCCCCTTGGGGCTCCTGGTAGATTTAAGAACTTGCTTAATAGAGGCCTCTCCTTCTTGGAGGGGTCGGCCGTTCGGATGCCCCTTGGGGCTCCTGGTAGATTTAAGAACTTGCTTAATAGAGGCCTCTCCTTCTTGGAGGGGTCGGCCGTTCGGATGCCCCTTGGGGCTCCTGGTAGATTTAAGAACTTGCTTAATAGAGGCCTCTCCTTCTTGGAGGGGTCGGCCGTTCGGATGCCCCTTGGGGCTCCTGGTAGATTTAAGAACTTGCTTAATAGAGGCCTCTCCTTCTTGGAGGGGTCGGCCGTTCGGATGCCCCTTGGGGCTCCTGGTAGATTTAAGAACTTGCTTAATGGAGGCCTCCCCTCCTTGGAGGGGTCGGCCGTTCGGATGCCCCTTGGGGCTCTTGGCAGATTTAAGAACTTGCTTAATAGAGGCCTCTCCTTCTTGGAGGGGTCGGCCGTTCGGCTGCCCCTTAAGGCTCCTAGTAGATTTAAGAACCTGCTTAATGGAGGCCTCTCCTCCTTAGAGGGGTCGGCCGTTCGGACGCCCCTTGGGGCTCCGCCCTCTCGCACTGACGTGACAGCGCATATTTTTCTACACAACAAGTTCTATCCAAGACAACGTGGCTCAAGTGATTTTTAGGTCATCGGCTCAATATTTTTTTAAGAATTAATCAGGTTGAGGTAATGTGTTTTTCCTTCTCTCTCTTCCTCCTAACTACTGCCTTTTTTTTTTATTTTCCCCTTCTATTGCCTACCTATTGCTTTTAGTAGCGATTTTTTTTTAAAATTTCATTCACTAAGTGTGTATGAGTTTTTAAATAGAGACGGGTAAAACATAGGATGAAATATACAGAATGTTTCATTTGTCTATTTATAGAAAAAAAAATCTTATATTTATAATAATGACTTATTGAAACACTTTTGTTTAATTTGAAACGTGCATTTTAAACTTTTTTCATTCATTTTAAATCTTATGTTTTCTAATTGTGTCTAATTCAACTTTACTCCCTAATATGTTTTCATTTAAATAATTTTAAATATGTGTGTTGAGTGAAAATATTTATTAATGTTAAAATAATATTTCACACACAACATAATTTCACCTATACTAGGATTTAATTAGCATAGGAGTTTATTATTATTAGTTCGACCCATCCAAGATTATAAGAATAACCTCTTAATTACAATCCCTTGGTATAAGGGAAGACCTTTTGATTCCAGTTAAAATAGTAAATTCTATTTTTTGTGAATTTGGGAAATTTTGGTTGATTTAAAATTGCGGCTGAACTCAGTGAATTTTGTCAAGTTGCTTACATACCTCGTTAAGGGATCAAGCCACTTGTAGTTCGAAATTTGGGTTTGAGAATTTTAGATAATTCCTCGGTGTATGACCTTATGAGGAATTGACGCACTTTAAAATTTGATTTAGTTTTGTATTGATTTTCTCTTCTTTGAGAATTTTAGAATTGAATTTGGTCTTGAAACTGCACCTAAATTTTAGGTTGCCTACGTATCCCATTGGGAATCAAGTTAATCGTAGTTCGAAATTTAGATTTTGGAGAATCCCTCGATATATGACCATAGGAGGAATTCAGGACCGAATTTGATCTTGAAACTGCACCTAAATTTTTAGGTTGCCTACATATCCCATAGGGAATCAAGTCAACCGTAGTTTGAAATTTGGGTTTGAAAATTTTAGATAATTCCTCGATGTATGACCTTATGAGGAATTTACGCACTTTGAAATTTGATTTAGTTTTGTTTTGACTTTTTCCTTTATGAGGATTTGTAGGTTTGAATTTGGTTTTGAAACTGCACCTAAATTTTAGGTTGCCTACGTATCCAATAGGGAATTAAGTCAACCGTAGTTCTTAAATTTGAATTTGGATTTTGAAGAATTCCCCGATATATGACCATAGGAGGAATTCATGATCGAATTTGATCTTGAAACTGCACCTAAATTTTTAGGTTGCCTACGTATCCCATAGGGAATCAAGTCAATCGTAGTTCTTGATTTGGTTTTGAGAATTTGGAGAATTCCCCGATATATGACCATAGGAGGAATTCAAAGATGTTTTTTTAAAATTTGATTTGGAATTTTACTTTAGAGTTTGGATTTGAAAGTTGTATTTGGATAATTCCTCTGTATATGACCATATAAGAAATTAAAAGGATCCTTTTTGAATTTGGTGTTGAGATTTTTTAATTTGAATTTGGGATTTAAAAATTGTATTTAATCACCATATGATTTTATGAGACAATTGGCTCATCTTTTGCACTAAAGGACTATAGAGGGGCCCAATTTGTGCACTTTAAATTTTGGAGTATTTAATATTTTGAATTTCTTTTGAGATTATTGTCTTTTTTCTATTTTTTTTATTTCAAAATTCAAAATCAAATTTACCATTTAGATTGGATTTGTTTTGACTGATCTTCTAATCTCAAGAGGAATTAAAATCCTCCTTTTTTGCTAACAATTTAATTTTAAAAAGAGATTTGAATTTCCCTTATCCCTTCCACACGTTTTTCTTTTGGAGTGGAGGACTCAGGAATATAAGCGTCACAATAAGCATTATTTGTGAAGATCTTTTTTTTTTCCCTGCACGTGAACTCATATATATATATATATATATATATTTGTGAAGATAATTGAGGAAGAGATGCAAGTGACGGTTGCTTGCTCTCATTTATTTTTTTTATTATTTTTCTTCTTTGATTGTTTTTTGACGGGTAAAGTGTGATTTATATGAATATTTTTATATAAATTATATGCATATAATTTTTCATATACCGATCTTTAAAGTGTAATTTATATGAGTTTTTTTACTTGAATTGTACTCAAAATAATCGTACCCAATAATTTAGGAAACTTTTAATCTTTGATTTTTTTAAAATCACATTTAACTTATATAGATCTCTAAAAAGAAATCTAAGTCTTAGTGATAATCATAAGATTGTGATAAAAATGAGAAGCCACACACTATGAGTACATTAGGAATTTATTAAGAGTTACAAATAAGAAATCTCACACCATAAGACTTATATAAGATTTATCTTCGTGGAGAGTGTTAAGGAATAAATTATAATCTCACATTTTAAAGTGTATATAAGATTTGATTTAAACGTGATTTATGTACAAATTTTTTTGTTTCCTTCTCACGTTTTCCCACACTTTCTGCACCTTTATATATATATATATATATATATATATTTCTTCTCTCACTTTTTTTTTCTGCGCACAAGCGGTTTTGCTTTTTTTTTTTTTGTTTTCTCTCACCTTTCCCTGTACACACGCACAGTCCTCTGAGAAGCCTTTTTTGTTTTCGCCCTTTTTTTCTGCACACACGCACAGTCTTCTGAGAAGCATTTTTTGTTTTCTCTTACTTTTTCTGCACACACGCACAGTCTTCTCTTTCTTAGCCCTCCTGTTTCTTCCTTTATATAAAGGAATTCCATAACAGTTTTTTTCACTACCCCACGTTTTGCACCCACCATGTTATGCACCATTATTTTTATTTTTATTTTTTTTAAATCACTACTCTGCACCACATATTACACCATATTCTGCACCACGTTCTGCTCTATGTTTTTGCACTACGTTTTATTAAAACGTGCATTTTTTTTATTTTAAATCCCCGTTTTTTTTTATCAGTACAAAAATTTATTTTCTTTTCTCAATTTTTTTTAAGACCCATTTGTGATTTATTATTATTTTTTTACCGTGAACAATGTGCTTACCTAAATATTTTGTTTTTGTTGTTAATATTTTTTTTTCTAAATATAGGTGTCTAGAAAATATAACATACTGTGTTGTAACTAGTATAAAGAAAAAGTATATACACAAGATATATGCTTTGAATAAAAATTTAACGGTTTTAAAATTTTTCGATATTGGTATGAGCATTTTTTAACGCTATAATAATAAAGAATTCTGTAAAGAAAAAGAAGAAAGACAGAAAAACCTGGAAAGCACTACGGGAGGAACGCATAGGCATACAAAGCAATTATTGGAAGTGAAGTAGAGAAGAGGATGAGGAGCATATTTGTACCATATATTGTCCCCTGATCCATCCCCCAAAGCCACATGATCCATGATTTCCATTCCAAAAATTGAGATGAATAATCAAATAACAACACACAGCCACGTGATCGATGTACTAAATAGAGATGAGACGGGTGCATACCACTAAATTAGAAAAACAACACCAGCCAACCAGGCATGCGGGGTTGAGTGTTTATCAATCAATATATGTATATGTAATATATATATATATATATATATATATATATATTCTCACGCGTGACTTAAATCCTTGTTTGCCAATTGAACAAGTTACTCTCGTGTCCACTTTTTGTGTTCTAGCTCAGGCAAAAGCTATATATCTCTCCACTTTTTTCTCTCATGAACACACACACACAAAATAAATAAATAAAATAAAAAAAAAGAGAGAAAAAGTGGGGGCATGGATATAGGCCTCAATGACCGAAAGTTGGTGGGTGGAGGACTCGTTGAAAGTGGAAGCCAGCTAACTTGCAATTTTGACTTTGCATGGTACGCAATATAATCGTTATTAGTCTGATCTATGTGTACTTCAAAATTAAATCTATACATGTACACATACATATAAATATATATATGTATATATACATACATGACTGATCGGTGCCATCTTAATTAATTAAGCTTAGACATAAATGCAGAACTATTGAGCAGCACTACACAGCGCCTGATCATATGATCAACATATAATTTAAATATGTCTTAATTAGGTCCTCAGCTAGCTAAAATTAATTAAAATAAAATATTTGCATGTAGAAAAAGTCAAACCCATTAATGAATTATTTATGATATAAATGATCTGGATTAATTAGTGCCGCCCAGATCATGATTATTACATTTGATTTGAATGTAGAATACATATTCCGCTGATGAAGTGTTACGTGTCGAGTCAGGACATGCAAATCAACATGCAATATGCAATGATATTTAAGTAGCTAGCAAGGATTAATTAATTATATATCGTTTGGGAGCACTAATGATGGCATTCTCGGGGGGCATTTGGATATTAGGTGCAGAGATCAGTAAAATGATAAACCCCCCCACTATCTATCTTCCACCCCCTCTTTTTCTTTTTTTTTCGATTATATATCATTTTTTTTAATTAATGTCAAGCTCTCTAGATCTCTCTTTTTCTCTCTCCATCGATGATCTCTTTCTATATAAACCAATTCAAGCCAACATATATCAGTCGTGGGAGGCCGGTGTTACAAACTTATAATTCATTATAAGCACATACACCAATACACACACACACACATAGATATATATATATATATATATATATATATTGGCTGCCCCTGCAGCTAGTTTATTTGTAATTGTGAGCGTAATTTCATTATATATATATATATATTATAATATAGAAATGGCCTTAGCGATGAGGATGGGGAGAATAGTGAGTGGTAGCGTGGTAATATTGATGGCGATGGAATTGATGACAGGGATGATCATTAGTAGTAGAAGTGGATCATCATCGTCTGCATATAGATTTGGATTTGGAGCGGTGGATGCAGGTCCAGGCGGCGGCGGTCTGAGCATGAACTACTACACACTGAGCTGCCCGATGGCGGAATTCATCGTGAAGAACACAGTCAACGCGGCGCTGCAGGCGGATCCAACGCTGGCGGCAGGACTCATAAGAATGCACTTCCACGACTGTTTCATCGAGGGATGCGACGCTTCCATTCTGCTTGACTCCACCGAAGACAACACTGCCGAGAAGGACTCTCCCGCCAATCTCAGCCTCCGGGGTTACGACGTCATTGACGATGCCAAAGACCAGCTCGAGCAGCAGTGCCCTGGAGTCGTTTCCTGCGCCGACATCCTCGCCATGGCCGCCAGAGACGCCGTTTTCTTTGTACGTACAATTTAATTAGCCTAAGCTATATATATAATATTATTAATTAATTAATTACGACATGATGACATGCAAATTATGTTGCAGGCAGGAGGGCCAGTATACGACATACCAAAAGGAAGAAAAGACGGAAAGAGGTCTAAAATAGAAGACACCATCAATCTCCCATCGCCCACCTTCAATGCCTCCCAACTCATCTCTATGTTTGCTCACCACGGTCTCACTGCCCAAGACATGGTCGCCCTTTCTGGTAAAACTACTTCTTATAAATTTATTCTTCCAACAAGCTCTACTACTCATTAATAATTATATGTTAATTCAGTACGTACTTTTGTATTATAATTTTAACACATATATATATGTATATATATATATATATATAGGGGCGCACACCCTTGGAGTAGCTCGGTGCTCGTCGTTCAAGAACCGAGTGACGGGTAGTACTCCGGACGCAGACTTGGACTCAAACTTTGCGAAGACGCTTTCAAAGACATGCAGCGGCGGAGACAACGCGGAGCAGGCCTTTGACGCCACGAGAAATGATTTCGACAATCTATACTTCAACGCTCTCCAGAGGAAGGCCGGCCTTCTCTCCTCCGACCAAACACTCTTCAGTTCCCCAAGAACAAGTCGCTTCGTCAACTCCTACGCACTCAACCAGGCCATGTTCTTCTTCGACTTCCAGCAGGCCATGCGCAAGATGGGTTCCCTCGACATCAAATTTGATCACTCCTCCAATGCCCAAGTGCGTGCCAACTGCCGTTCCATTAATTAACGTCTATATATATAGCTACCTGTTATTATTAACTATATGTGCGTGTATATATATATATATATGTGATGTTATATATATATATGGTCGGTCCACACTCCATAATTAATAATACTGTTCCCCTTCACAGTGCGTACGGATCCACTTCTTATATATATATATATATATATATAATACACATGGCACGTTTGTGATTTTGGTTTTTACTTACTAGTAGCTGGGGCCTTGTAACAAATTCAACATTTAATTACCGTCCTCTTCTTTTCACGGGTTCAACTTGAAAACATTGGGCTGAAAAGTGATTTTTTTTTTAAAAACATTGTAACAAAAATGTTCAACTGTGATTCAAACTAAAAAAGTGAGGCTCACATATATCTACTATTTATTAATCTCATATGCATACAATATTATTTTATAATATTATTTCATATATATCAACAAAGGCGTGTAATTTATTTCGCATGAAAGAGAAAGAGAAACGGATGAATGATAGAATACCGCGACTCTCTTCGCTAGGGCTGCTTTCTTTCTTTATGTGTTGTCACCTTGTTTGGTCCGAAAGGGTCAGAGTCCCATCGACACCTTCAAGCACGCTTACCCCCTTGAGCGTTTTCACCCAAATCTACTCGTTAGATTTGGGTCTATGTTCGGGGTTGAGTTTTCTAGTATCTTTACAATGACAGAATAGTAATAGAAACGGTAATAAGAATGGTAATAGAATGGAATTAAAATGTATTAAAATCATAAATTGATTCTTTAATTTGATTAGAGTTATGGAATCAATACCTGAATGAAGATTATAATATTTTTTATGTAACCATAAAACTAAATAATCACTCCTAAATGTAGCCTCAGAACCTCTACCGGTCGCACGATCATACATAGATTCGCCAAAGATGATGATCCTTCCACAAGGCATGCTGACAGCAACGTGATCAAGTCTAGGAGGAGGAACCACATACATTAAAAAATTTGTTAAAAATTAGACACATATAATTATTTAAAACAGTCATATTAACATCACTCTTTTTATCACACTATTTATCACTTTTTTATTAACTGTTTGGTATGTAACCTTTAATAATATGATGTGTTATTATTTTAATAAAAAATAAGATAATAAAATACACATATCAAACTGTAAATATAAAAAATAAAAGAAAATTGTCCTGTTTGTTTCTGTTTTCATTTCCATTTTTCACATTTTTCGAGACTACAAAATGAAAATGCAAACTGAAAATGCGTTTGGTGTAAAATTTTTTAAAAAACAAAAACAAAAACGTTTTTGTCTTTTCTGAAAAACTGAAAACGGTATAATACCGTTTTTCATTTTCTCATTTTCAGTTTTCAGCCATTGCCATTGGAGCTTGACTTCTACGAAGGAGACGCCCGCCACCATCTTCTTCGACTGCCCGCCACCGTCTTCTCTGTGACGACCCTCCTTTGAGGCTGCCACTGTGTACTAACTTTTTTTTAAAGGTCTTATAATAAACATAAGATACGAAATTGCTTTCTTAATTAAAATATTCAAACCTTAACATATCTGTTTCAGAATCATAATTAACAAAACTATTTATAACATAAAGCTGATTGCGGAAATATTTGCGAGCGGTATCCATATCTCGAGCCCCACATCGTTCGTCCACTCACTGGCAGTCCATCAGGCATTATATGCCGGTTGCTTAGCTACAGTATAAACATTCTATAATGATTTTTCAGGAAAATTTTTGACTTAAATACATGAATTACATTATTGAAATTCTGGGATTTTCTTGGTCACTACATTTTCCGACTGCCCGCCGCCGTTTTCTCCGACCACCAAACACAGTTTCAGTTTTTTTTAAAACTGAAATCAATCTCTGAATAAAACTACCAAACGCATTTTCAGAAATAATTCTAAAATAAAAATAAAAACGTTTTCATTTTCATTTTCATACAGAAAACAAAATCATTTTGGAACTAATTCTAAATGCATTCAAAATGACACTATTGTTTTTTAATAAAATTTAAAAGACAAATTGTGAAAATTAAAAGTATGAGTGACACGTTGCAAGAGATGAAAAGTTTGAGGGCAACATGAGCCCGTTTAGTTCGTTGATTTGAGTTTTTAATTCGAGTTGAGATGTGATTTTATGTGAGAGATTTTTACTGTAGCAAAAAAAATTAGATGTAATTATGTATGAGAGCTTTTTATTGTAACAAAACTCGAATTCTAAACTCGAATCAGTAAAATAAACGAGGTCTTAGTAAACACCCATTAAGAAAAAGAAAAAAAAAATCAACAAACTGAGTTATGATTGTCGTAGCGGTATGATTAGGAAATTTGTCCTTTTCCCTTGAAAATCACATCATATCATAGGAGAAATTTTATGGTGGATTCCCCATTTGTGATCCATCAGTAAAATATATTTTAAACTGTTATTTTAAACTTTTAACAATTACATCGGTATAAGTCTGTATTAAAAATTTATAATGCACTTCGTAAAATTGTTTTGACTACAAATCTAACAGTTAAATAATTAATCTTACATACTTACTTACCGATGGATCACAATATTAGGATGAGAGAAGCCGATATCATAGTCATATATTTACAGAACCCAAAAAAAAAAAAAAAATTGCTGGAGTAGAAGCGAAATCGAGCAACCATGGGAAGACGGTCGAATCCGATTAGAAGAAATTTATATCCCATTAGTTTTTAGGAAGAAGAAGAAGAAGAAGAAGAAGGGGAAGAAGAAATGGAGAAGATGAATAATGCATTGGAGAGAATGAAGATGCTTGTCGGAATGGAAGTGGAAGAAGAAGATACTACTGCTGCTTCCGACTCTTTCATCGACGATTTCAATCGCAATTGCACTTTGTCCACTAAGCAGGTTAGCTTCGCCTTAGGTTAGGTTTTTTTGTTTTTAATTTAACTTTCACTGGATCAGATCTGGTCATTCTAATCCCTAATTTCATTTTGTGTGTCTAAAATTTCAGAGGTTTTACGGATTCGCCATATGCCTGGCTGCCGGATTGACATGCACTCTTCTGGTAATTTTCTGATCGTCATTGGTGATTTGTGATGATTAAGTAAAGTTAAGAATATTAATAATTGGGGATTGATTCGATTCAATCGCCATTTCATTCATGTCATGTGTTTGTTGTTTGTTGTTGGTTGAAATGGCAGTCAATGGTCGTGTTCTTGAATCCCATAAAGTTCGGAATAACGTTCACACTTGGGAATTTGCTTGCTCTGGGGAGCACGGCATTCCTCGTTGGCCCAAAACGCCAGGTGACGATGATGCTCGACCCCGTTCGCATCTATGCAACCGCCGTCTACCTCGCCACTATTATAATTGCCCTCTTCTCTGCTCTCTATGTATGTGTGTGTGTGTGTGTGTGTGTGTGAACAAAACTCTCACTTTAATTATTAATCTTGTTTCCTCCTAATATATATGTATATATGTATATATCTATAGCATATCCTAATTCCTGCTTATAGCAATAGACTAATAGTAAATTCTCAAATTGTAATTTGTAATATTGTAGGTTCATAACAAGTTTTTGACTCTGCTAGCTATAATCTTGGAGTTTGGCGCTTTGATCTGGTACGCACCTTTTCATTCAATTCATTCATTTATAATAGCTTTTTACTATGAATTATCAATGGCTGTCAATATTGCATATGCTAATTATGTATATACAAGTGGATTAACTTAAACGGTTAACGGGTTAACATTGAACAGGTATAGCTTGAGCTACATCCCCTTCGCAAGATCCATGGTATCTAAGGTCATGCTTGCATGCTTTGACACTGATTTCTAGGCTCTATTAATCTCTAAAATGAGATTTTGTCTTCAAACCCAGATCACAAAAATTGAGATATGGAATGTAAATGTCATCTACTTTCATATATATATATATATACACTCCCTTTCTCCTGCACACACACATTGTGCTGAACTGAGTGGTTGTATTATTCTGACAGAGCAATGTTAGAGCTGATCTACCTGTACGGTATTAATTGGTGATCAAAGTAACGATCTGTTCATTGGTATTCCTTTCAAGCTTTTGTGTCATATATCCTTTTATGTTAAATATAATCTCCTTGATTGGATTTTGATTAGAGCTCTGAAGTCTTGCGCTGGGAAAATAATCGGATTACAATATATATATATATATATATATATATAAGGGGGAATTCTCTCGTAGGGGACGCTTGCTTTTCCATATTGATAGGGAATGTAATGAGATTCGTCGGATTCTAATCCAACGGTGTTAACAGAATGATATCGAATGAAATCAAATCGATGGTTCAAGATTGCATGGATTTAATTATATTAATTAACTATTGTACTTTTTTTTGCTATGAATTAACTATTAAACTTCAATTGTCACTGATTTTAAATTTTAGGGTGTAATTTGTTAAAATTAAAATTTCAAGATATATTATGCCAAAAAAAAAAAAAAAAAAAAAAAAAACAAATAGTATGGAGTACAAGTTACACGACATATATCTTGAAATTTGCAGTGGGACGAGTTGGTACTTTACCTCTTTTAACGACAATCAATTGAAGGCCAGAAAATTTTATTAGTTTTTATTAGAACAAAAAAGTTTGAATTAATTTTGTTTTGAGATTAAATTTGAGTTAAAACAGATAAACAAGATTACCACTCGTGCCTCGGTTAGATAAAATAAATTGATATTTAGTGTGATCGCATACACTTCTTGATTCTCCACGCATGGTGATTAACCTTAAGCTTTAAATCCATACATCCATATATATATACACACACAAATATATATGGCTCTCAAACTTAATGTAACATCCGTTCTCCTTTAATTTAAAAAACATCTCAAAAATCCACTTCCAGTAGTTTATTATTATTATTTTTTTTTTGAAGGAAATGACCCCAAAATCACGGGTAAATAATATATTTATATATATATATATATATTATTTACTATTTTCATTTCATGTAACTGGAGCATTATAGGTAGTGATGAAGAGCCTTTTTTTAAATTTTTTATTGGACACTGAAAAAAAGTACAGATGATTTTTAGATAATAATTAAATTTTCATTATTGAGCGCATAATTAATGTTTTTCTTATAAAGTGATGGTGACAGTAAAATTTCAAAATCTTAATTTAGTAACACCTAGGCTTTCCACTTTATGAAAACAGAAAAGAGAGAGGAGGTGGGAATTATGTGATTAAAATAGTTAGGAGACGTTTGGTTCATCGATTAAAATTATGTGATTAAAATTATTTTTAATTTACGTGTATTTTTTATGAGAGAAAATACTGTAACGAATAATAAATTATAATTCAAATCATGATTTAAATCCTCCGACCAAACATCCCGTTAAGACTTAAGAGGGAATAGATGGAGAGGATTAGTGGTGTTGACTGTTGAAGATTCTTGGAGCCATGACCTGGCAATTTGCAAGAAAGGAGATGAGTTGTCGCTGCTAAAACTTATTGGGCCGGAGATTCCTGGACTGTCAGTGGATGGGCCACTTGCATGGTGGGTACTTGGATGCTTAGCAGGGTAAATGGGCCAGCCCAATAAATAATGAAATTGGAAAAGAAAAGAGAGACAGACTGACCGCGACGGAGGGAGGGAGGAGGGGGTGAAAACGGAGAAGTGAGAAAGTGAGAAAGAAAGCCAGCCGGAGGTCATCAAAGTAAGGGGTTTGTCTTTCTTCTGCAAAGAATTACTCTTTTTCGTTGTCAAATGAATATGAATTACGAATTCATAATGCCGACCTAAACCCTCAAAGAGTTAATTCACCTGTGAGCTCTCTCTCTCTCTCTCTGTCTCTCTGTCTCTCTCTCTCTTGCACTTTTAGGGTTTTTTTCACTCTTCAATTCCTCTCTGTTTTTTTTGTTGTTCTGATATGATATCTTCATTTTTGCTATTCATATTTGTGTGTGTGTATATATATCTGCGTTTTAAAGCTTCTTTCTTTCTTCTTCTGTAAGTCCTTTTCTTTCTTTCTTTCTTTATGTTTTCTTTAATCAAGATTCGAACTGTTAATTACTAAACCCTGCTCTGCTCTTTTAATTCTTCTTCCTAGAATTTCTTTCACATTCAGCAAATGCTTCAACTTCAATCATTCATGTTACTCATTGATTTGGTCCTTCCCCAGTATTGTACTACTCTTCTTCTTTGCATATTATTCTTATTATTCATTCTTCACTTTTATAAATAAATTTAATAAATTATCTGCTTAAATCTCTCCCTCTTTCTCCGGTCGATTTTCAAAGTTTTAGGCTTTCTTTGGTTTTAGTGATTATTCTTTTCAGAGTCCCAACTCTGAAATGAATTAGTACCTGCTGTATTGTTTCGTTATTATTGTTGTTATTATCGTTGTTATTGTTATTAGTTTAGCAGATGCAGTTCGACCTGACCTAAATGTGAAATTAAGTTTGACATGGATTTCTGCTTCTCCAGGTTGCAAATTTGCAAATGCTTCAATCAGACAATCAATCAATCAAGGAATAAGAGAAGACACACACACACACACGCACTCATTGATCGTTGAATTATTCAACTTTGAACTGTGAACCGTGATCATCATCGAATTTACGGGGGAAGGACGGAATGAGCGGCGCACCTAAAAGATCTCATGAAGAGAGTACTCACTCTTCTTCTTCTTCCAAATATCCTCCTCACGAAGATTCACCTTCATTCTCTAAGCTCTCTGTCGACTACATTCCCCCTTATGAGGTGGGCACCCCCGACGCTCGTTTGCCCAAGATTCCCCGCACCGATGTCGTCCTTATCGACAGGAAAATCCTTCCCCCAGCAATGTTCCACCGATTGCCTACCGATTCTCACCTAGATACCGTTCCTCTTGCTTCTTCTGCTTCTGCTTCTGAGGAGCCCAAGGATCACCACCGCCTCGAGAACCGGGATGCTAGGGAGTTGTATGGCGATTCAAGGAGGGATTCTCAAAATGCCAAGGGCGGAGAAAAGGATTCAAGACATGATAGTGGTAGTAGTAGAGGGGAAGACAATAAGGACATGAAGTACGATAGGGACAGTTATAATGATGCAAAGAGTGAAGTTAAGAATGATAAGGATGGTTATGGTGTTCCGACTAGTAGTCACTTGAACTGGAAAGATTCAAAGGAATATAACAGGGGAAAGAGATATTCTGATGCCCCTCCGGGAAGTATGGATGCCTGGATTTCGCGTGGCAGCTCTCAAGGCCATGCCGAGGCTGGGAAGGAGCCTTCAACGGTTGAGGAGAGGGATCTTGTTGAAGCACACGAGGCTGTTGGAGAAAACAAGTTTGATTTGAAAGGAGAAGACAAATTCAAAGACAAGGATAGGAAAAGGAAAGATGTGAAACACCGGGATTGGGGTGAAAGGGAGAAGGAAAGGGTTGATCGTAGGAGCAACGTGCAAGTTGCTGATGGCAAAGAATTGACCAAGGAAGAAAGAGACGTGGAGAGGTGGGAAAGGGAGAGGAAGGATCCCGTGAAAGATAAGGAAAGAGTAAAAGAGAGGGAAAAGGATCATACCAGGAGAGAGTCGTGGAATGGAGCTGACAAAGAGAGTAATGAGAAAGATTTGGGGGATGGATCAAACAGATTGCAAGAGCAAGAGAATGTGATATCTGATAATAAGAAGCAGAAAGAATCCGAGAGCTGGAAAACTGTTGATAAGGAATCGAGAGACAGAAGGAAAGAACGGGATGTCGACGGAGACGGAGATAGGACTGAAAAGTGCAGCCGGGCATTTGAGAAGGAATCGGATGATGGTTGTGCAGCGGATGCTGAAGGGGGTATGGAGCGGGAAAGGGAAGTTTATAATTACAGTGTTCAACAGCGTAAGAGGATGCAACGGTCTAGGGGTAGCCCTCAAGTGGTCAACCGTGAGCCCCGATTTAGGACTCGTACTCAAGAAAATGAAGGGTCTGAAATACCTTCTTCTTCTTCTCTCTTATTATTATTATTATTATTATTTTTTGAATTACTCTTATATATATTCAAATACGATTAGGTTGGCTTGAATTTTGCATTCTGAACATGGGCAACACTATTAGTCGTCTTCTTGATTAGCGAGAGATAAAGCTGTAATAGGGGAACAGGAGATGAAAGTTCTGTTGGATAACTTGTCCACTTTTGAGGTTCTAGACCATCAATTTGAAGTTAGGAATGCTAGATTCATGTTCTGGTTTGTCTCTATCTCGTACGTAGCTTCTTATATGCGGGGATAGATTTTGCTGTCCTTCTGTACGCAAATGACTTACAAAAAGTCTGAAGTCAACGTTTAAATACATTTTAACCGCATATGTATCACCATCTCTGAACATGGGCAACACCATTAGTCGTCTTCTTGATTAGCGAGAGATAAAGTTGTAATAGGGGAACAGGAGATGAAAGTTCTGCTGGATAACTTGTCCATTTTTGAGGTTCTAGAGAATATCAATGTTAGTTTACTTTTTCATGGCCAAAGTCATATTAGTAGCCTTAAAAGAAGGTTAGGAAGAGTCAGCTCATGAGGCCTTAACCATCAGTGGTGTGTGTTTTGACTAACAATGATTTGTTTTTGTGGGGTTTTGTTAGGGTCCTTTAGTAATTTGGGAAGTTAGTTTAGTTAGTGAGCTGGTAGAGTTAGTAGAAATCAGCATAAAGAAGGGAGTTAGTAGCTCATGAAGGGTTTATGTCTAATTTTTCTATGAATTTGGGATTCATTCAGGGCTTGGGAAACTAAGATTAGGGAGAGTGGTGGTATCTCGAATACCACCGTTTCTGGTTTTCTTAATACTCTTTTATCAGTTGATTCAATGATAATTCATTATCTGGTTCATCAGAGTGTTTGAATTAGCTAGGTTCTTATCAGCTTTCTTGTTAATGACTAAGATTTGGATGGTTCAGCGGTTGATTCATTGCAGAGATCTGTTCACGTTATAAGGGGATAAGTGCTAGTCTAGTGTTTTCACTTTTATCTGTATTTCACATTTTCCAGAGTTGATGGTTTAGATCTCCATGTGGTGGATTCTATTAGATCGACATAAGTTCAATAATAACTTAATAAAAGTTTTGTTTTTAAAAGGATCATGGAAATTTGGCATATGTTCCCATTCTGTTTAGTGCAGAGGTTAATTTGCATTTTATTTTTCTTTTGCTTTTCCGCATCCCTGGTTCAGTACATTAATTAATTTTTATTTTTGTGTTTGTTATTTTGCAGATCTCAAGGTGAGCTGTCGTATTCAATTATATTATGTGGAGCTTCTTAAGTTTGCTACAGCCAAAAGGAATTTCATCCTTGGTGAAGTCCTTGTTTTACCTTGCAATATGTTTGTGATGCAACGAACCTGGATAGAAACTTAGTGAAGAATAAAGGATGTAAATCATTTGGATTAGTTCATTGGTGGTACAAGACTAAAAGGGGTCTGAAATATCATTTTCCACATCAATGTAGAGTTCGTTTCTTAAGACATCGCATATTCTGTCCGAGTATCATTTGGCTCATTGGCTGCACAATAGAACCGATTGAAAATAAAGTGGAGTTGAATATCATCTACTTCTGCCCAAAAATGGAATGTTTTTCTTACTCAGATAACAACAATCTCTGCATTTTGAGTACGTCTGCATCGGAGAAGTAGATGTTACTTAGACTAGAGAAAAAACTTTGCCCATTGTGGCAGCTCCATTGCAGGAGGACAACAAATGTAACTTTTGAGCTCTGTTTGAGTTTGACAAGATTAGTTCAATAACGGGCATTAACATGGCTGAATTTATAAGAATTATATTCATGTCCTTAGGGTTATAGACTCTTGCAATAATAAGTTATTTCATACCTTTGTAAATTCTGCTTATAGGAACGACGAAATCTGGTCCATCTTGTATTTTCGATGTTGATTTCCTTTACATGTCTCTTAAGCTGCTTACAGTTTCAGGAAAAGCTGAAGTGTCCTCTGTTGTCTATAAAGTCGGTGAATGCATGCAAGAGTTGATAAAGTTGTGGAAGGAGTATGAAGCATCACAGGCTGAAAAGAACAGTGAAAGCTCAAGTAGCGGGCCCACTCTTGAAATTCGAATACCGGCAGAGCATGTTACTGCCACAAATCGCCAAGTAAAGATCCGCATTATGTTAATAGGACGTCGCTTGACAACATTGTTTCTAATTGGCAGTATGTTCATATGAAATTCTTAATGCGATCATGTGTAGGTGAGAGGTGGCCAGCTATGGGGGACAGATATATACACAGACGATTCAGATCTTGTTGCAGGTAATAGTGTGATGATTGACTTGTGGTTTTATGCAGTGTATAAAAACATGGCGATGATTTCTTTTTTAAGGGAAGAAATAGCGACTAAAAAAACAAAAAACTTGATGTCCCATTTTTGCCTTTCAGTTCTCATGCATACAGGCTACTGCCGACCTACGGCCTCTCCTCCTCCTCCTGCTATACAGGAGTTACGTGCTACTATCCGTGTGTTACCTCCACAAGATTGTAAGTAGGATTCAGTTGCACTTGATTTTGATTTACATTAACCGCTCATTGCTTATATATGCATGCAATGAATCTGTCTTTGACAATTAATCTCTTTATTCCTTAATTGTATTGGGGTAGCATGGTCACCTTCTGTTTGGATTTTCTGATATTTGTAACAAAATTAAGAGAGATACATACTGGAGCTTAATTTCATTCTGTTAGAATAATTTCAATATGAATTATGACCTGGCATCCCTAAATTTTAAGCAGACTTGAATATTGTTATGTAATTTTTCATCAGAAGGCTTTTTATTTTGCATGGTATACATGAATCGTCTTTGGCATAAGTCGAGACAAGGATAATTGAATTTTTATGGTTATTAAATTACTTGCTGCCATTTGTTTATTTGTTCTTGTTGACACAGTGGTTTGTACATACAAATGTATACATTATTCGTTTAATCCAATCCTAACATTTATATTAGGTTATATTTCTACGCTGAGAAACAATGTCCGTTCACGTGCCTGGGGGGCTGCAATTGGCTGTAGTTACCGTGTTGAACGATGCTGCATCATGAAGGTATTAAAGTTGTAAAGCTAATTTGTTAATTTGCTTTTGTTGATTAGTTTTCAATGTTCTAATGCTTTATCCATCATCGTCGTTGTTAATATTATGTATTTTCTAGAGATATATGGTACATGTCTTCGCATTTGTCAATTTTTTCTTTTGAAAATCTTTTATTGATTTCTAAGATACTTAAATCCTCGATTGTGAATTTATTATTGTGCCACCGGGCTTTGAATCTTGATACTTACCCGTGCATTTCCAATTTTGTTTCCAGAAAGGCGGCGGAACCATTGACCTGGAGCCTTGTCTTACACATACATCCACAGTGGAGCCTACACTTGCTCCTGTGGCTGTAGAGCGGACTATGACTACAAGGGCTGCAGCTTCGGTATTACTTAGCATCTGACTCTAGGCTCACGTTTGTGCTTCTGTTTAAACTCGGTCTTTGTTTGTTTATACGTCCTTGGCTTAATCCTCTTTTCCTTAATACTACAGTTTATATTGTTTCTCTTTGACATTTTTCTTCATATTTTAATTGCTGTGTTGTGTGTTTAATTTTCTTTTTGTGCTCGAAAAATGGTTTATGTTTTTGGTATTATTGGTGCTTGTTAACTTTACTTTTGACTTACATGATTCTTTGGATTCCGTAGAACGCCTTAAGGCAACAGAGATTTGTACGAGAAGTTACGATACAATACAACCTATGCAATGAACCTTGGTAAATAAATCTCGATTTGATCATTCAGATTGAAGCCATCCATGATGCGAATATGTTTATTTTTCTGTTACCTTGAGTTCTATTTTGATGAACCGCAGTTAACCTCGGTTTTCTGTTTCTGTTTGTATTTTCTTCAGGATTAAGTACAGTATAAGCATAGTTGCTGACAAAGGTCTGAAGAAACCCCTGTATACATCAGCGCGTTTAAAGAAGGGAGAAGTGTTGTACTTGGAGACGCATTCATGCAGGTATTTACTTGTTATCCATTTGTTCGATTAAATTAAATTAAATTAAACTAAACTAATCTAAACTAAATTAAATTAAACTATGGGTTCTTGGTTTTCTTTTCCTTGGTTCTGATTGCTGAGTTGTCTATCATGTGAAGGTATGAGCTCTGTTTTAGTGGAGAAAAGGTGCTGAAAGCTATTCAGCAATCATCCCATGCACATGAATCGGAGGTAGAGAAATTGCAAAATCATCATTCACATTCTGCGAACGGCGAGTGCGAGAATGTTGTGGTTGATGGATTCCGATGGTCTCGTTGTAAGACGCCTCTTCCCCAGAAAGTGATGCGTTCGGTTGGGATACCGCTGCCCCTTGAACATGTGGAGGTACTGCAATCCTTCTTTTGCTGGCCTGGCCTGCATAATAATTTGAAAAAAAAAAAAAGGTTTTATTGGAACTTCTTCTTCTGTTATATGTTTATTATAAAATTAAATGGAAATGGCATATTTGTATGGATAGGTGTTGGAGGAGAATCTTGAGTGGGAAGATGTTCAGTGGTCGCAAACTGGCGTTTGGATTGCTGGGAAGGAATACATTCTTGCTCGGGTGCATTTTCTTTCCATGAATTAATAATTACTTTTAAACTATTTTCTCCTTTTTTCCCCCTCATATTTTGTTTATCCTACACATGCATGTATCCGGATTTGATGTAAGGAATAAACCAACGCAATTTAGATTAATGTATTTTCCCATTTTCATTATTTGATTAGATGAACTTTATACAGACAAGTAAACAAAATTTTAGATTATTTTCATAAATACCTCCTAATTATGTAACCTTTTCAAAGTGCCTTTCATTATAAATCCATCTAGTATTTTAACGGATTTGATGATGTCGCATGCCACTAAGATTAACTCTGATTTGGCGACTCACCTCCTCTGATGACGACCCGGTGAGCGCACTCTCCCAGGCGCAGTTGGAAGCCGCCTAGGCCACTCACCTCCTGCGGCGTGACGACACCCCATCACCAATGAGAAATGCGGCCGACCTATTTAATATTTGGGCATGACTTAAAGAGGGACCGCTCCTCACTGTCTCTCTCTCTCTCTCGGCCAGATATGGCCAAATGTGGCTGTAGGTGAAGGTTGCCGGAGATGTTTCATGACCAGGCAGGCAACTGGCAAAGCCATGCGCTTCCTGCATTTGCTCTGTGCAAAGCATTGCATTTGTAAATCTTTATAACGCTCCAATTAATGGCGTCTCTTTTGACATTTGACAACTTTACCACCAATCCCCCACGATGTCGAGCAATGCCACGGACTCACTTGTTTCTTTGTTTTATTAGTTACTCTACTTACTGGCGTACTCTTTTTTAACACGACTCTACAATTGATCCAGCGATTTAGTGAACCGGGTCTGGTCTGGTTCTTTCTTTCTTCCTACAACAAAATCCATTAATTGCAATTTTGCACCTCAGCCTCGGATGGGAAGACCAGACCAGAACAGAACACAGAGGCTAGGATTACATTTACATGTAGGACCCATTATCGTTCCTGATAATTCCAGAACTAAATACCAACAAAATTGGCACAACAAAAAACAAACGATCAATCATATTGAGATTTGAGACTTCTCCCCCAATCACATGATATTATTTACATGCAGCAACGCGTTACAAAAAGCATAGCATGATTGTACGCAAAACATATAAAGAGAAGAAGGACGAGCCAAAAGCAACAGAAACTTACAGTTAACAAAACAAGTGCACGGAAGAACAATTGTCCTGCCAACGAAGCAAAATTTCCACCTAGGTTTAGCAAAGTAACAAGTTAGCAGTTGTACGCCACGTCACGAGGGTCATCTCTCAAGAAAGCTTACCATCACAAACAGTCACCAGTCATCCCATTTATTAATGAAGTTATCCCACATTGCAGCGGCAATCGAGTCTCTCATCGAAAAGGCAACTTGTTCTTGTATTGAAGAAACCAACTGGATTTCAGGTTGTTCATCTAGCTCAGGCAATTCATCCACTTTCACCCCTTCCACACTAGAGAACAGCCAATCCTTCTCTTCCTCGCGGCGGATGAAATTATGCATAACACACGCAGCAATGACTATGTCCCTTTGAATGTGAAATGCATACTGAGGAGCGACTTTGAGTATGGGAAATCGAGTCTTCAAAACCTGAAAAGACCTCTGAATGGCATTCCTTAGAGAAGAATGCCTGTGATTGAATAGTTCCTTTGCATTTCTGGGCAACTGATTAGCACCTCTAAATTCATGGAGGTGATGCCGGACTCCCTGATACGGAGCAATAAACCCTTCCATATTCGAGTATCGCGAGTCCACAAGGTAATATTTGCCTAACACGTTGTAATTATCGGAAATAAGCAACATTGTTTTAATCACTGGATAAGATTCACAAGTAAAAAATTTCTAGTATATTTATAGTCGCACTGCTCAAACCTTCTGGAATCTGGGGGAAATTTTGATCCGGATCATTGAGAACTGCCCTTAATACACGGGAATCTGCAGCAGAGCCTTCCCAACCAGGATAAATGAATATAAATTTTAGGTCAAACGTGCAAGCTGCCAACACATTTTGTGAAAGAACACCTCTTCGGTTACGGAAACGGGATTGATCTTTGGCTGGGACATGAGCAGGGATGTGCATTCCATCAATGACTCCAATGCAGTCCTGAAACAAAAGTAATAAACAAGGTAAAGATGACTTGCCTATAACAACACAGACAAGAAAAATATATGCATTTGAACATGAACCTGGAAATACGGATAGAATCTTTGATTTGAGAGGATTTCGGCGGGGGTGGTGAGAGGTGGTGGCTGTAAGAATTCACGTGACAATGACTTGATTGCCTTCAGTACGTTATTAAAATATCGGCTAATGGTTTCACCTGAGTGTTGGAATCTCTCTTGGATTACTCTGTTGCGCTCATTATGACCGATAATGTTGAGGAAAATTCCCAGCTGCTCCTCTATCATAACACCAGCAGTATCCCGCAACATGGCTCTCTGTCGAAGAATGTCGCACAGCTTGTGAAATACATGTTTGTCCATCCGAAACATCTCCCGACAAATGTGGTCATGACCATTCAGCACTTCAGTCATAAAGCCACATCCTTGTTTGGGTGACAAGCTACGACAAGGTTTGCTCGTAACATTGTTATAGTAGCTGTAGCCGGCAGCAACTGCAATCAATTCCATCTCATCCAGTTCTAGGTCAAAATCATCCATGCCAGCTCACATATCTGCATAAAAGGCATTAAATATTGTACAAGAAAATATAACAATTGAACTTTTGAAAGCATTTCAACAAGTTATGGCTTTCAACCACAGGACATTCTAAATCAATTGATGAAGGCTACATCCGCAAACTATCATCTAGGTTATCAAGGAAAAGGCATGGCCATAAAGTCATAGTAGATACAAAAATTAAACTTTTCAAGTCTGCTCAATTGTACAAGCCATGGGACATTAAAAAAAAAAAAAGAAACATCTGTATATATATTAGAGAAGGTAACTCTCAGCCTAATTCAACTAGAAGAAGCGCCAGACTTTCCCTGCAACCATGGCAACCGCCTCTCGCTTTTAAGGGATATGAAAGTTTCTCTGGCGTTCGGATTTTCAAACAAATCCAAAGCGAAAAAGTAGATCCTTTGATCAACACCTTGCATCTCATCCAAGACCTTAATGCATTTGCTAATAGAAAACCGTTCCTCGTTCTTCATGATGGCGGCCGCCCTCATCTTGGAAGCAGCAGCTATTTCTAGCATGGCGTCCACTATAGCATCGCCAGTGGCCTTGCGGCTTCTCTTCCGACGACCTGAACTCGGCGGCATTCCCGATTGGCGCTTGTTTCCGTCCAACATGTTCACATCATCTCCGGAGGCCGAAGAAGCATCATCATCTATAAAAGGCATCGGGGCACGAGGATCGGCAGACATACTTTGCGCTATTAACACATCAACAATACATCACTTTTTTTCCCCTCTTCCTTTCAACTGTCTTCAAAAGAATGACAATAAGGTCCAAAATCGTTCGACTTACTAGTATAATTATAACACAACATTCCTTGTTTTCTACATATTTAAGGCATTATAAGGAAAAGAGAGAGAGGGAGAAAAAGAATAAATAGGTGTAATACAGACAGAATAGAAGAAAGAGGAAGCCATAAATCAGTCACATAATAAATCACTTTTTAAAAAAAAGAAAAAAAGAAAAGAGAAACTACCACTTTACTTTGTAAAACAAACAACAATGTAAAATAGGGCTGACGAGGACATTTGTAATATGCTTGCTTGCTGCTTTAAAATGTTGGTAAATGATTTAATTTAGGATGGTTATTTATTTATTTATAGAAACGGGCCTTTTTCTTTCCTTTGAACGATTCAACTTTGCATTTTAACTTTATTCGCAAACAAACGCGACAGATTTAGACATTCAATTTACCGAGAATATGAGTTTTAGAATGCGAAGATCACATATTCTTTCTAACTTTGTTAAGAAAAGAAAATTATAGAAAAACATTAGACAAAAATAATATAACGACTTTGAAATAAGACTCATCGTTCTCAGACAGAAACGAAACAATCAAAGCAACAGAAAGGCGAAAATGGCAGAGAAAACTATATATATATATATATATATATATCAAATAAAAATAAAATAAAAGAAACAAGAAAAGAAAACTTACAGCAGAGAGAGCACTTGCACTTTGCACTTTGCAATTGCACTGAGATTCTTCGAATTGTTGTTTGTTTAGGGTTTTCTTTCTTCTTTTATTTTATTTTATTTTATTTTTCCTTTTTTCTGAAGAAAATGAAAAAACCGAGAGAGAGGGTCGGATATATAAAAAACCTCTTTTTTTTCTCTCTCTTTTTTTAATGAGAATTGATGCAGGTCGAGGTCGAGCGGAGTTTCCAAAGAAACAAAACCAGAAAAATGAACCTTTATTCTATATTAATAATAATCAATTAGGGAGTTTAGCTAAAATAGTGGCTTTCACTTTTTTTTTGTTTTTTAGTAATTTGGTCTTTTCTTTTTAATTTTAACAAAATAAATTTAAACTCTTAAAATATTAGTAATTAAACTATTTGAGTCTATTTCTATTAAATTTTTAAAAGAACGCGTCACGTGCTCCAATATAAAAGATATATTAGTAAAATCATACTATTTACTAATTAACAAAAAATCAAAATTAAAAAATCATTAAAAAAACAAAAGACTTGCACTGTTGCAGTCATAAATATTAGTACAACACTTGAGGGAGGGGAGCACGGCGGCATTGGGTTCGCAGCGTCTGGGCGACGCGGCAGTGTGTTTGTGAAGTCTCAGCCGCGACGTTCTGAGTTCGCGGAGTTAGGTTTACAAAGTCGAGTTTTTAATAAGGACAACTTTCTTTAATTTTGATTTTTTAAAACTTTTTCTCACTTTCTTTAGTAAGGATAATTTTCTTTAATTTATTTATTCCATTAAAAATTTAATAGAAATTGACAGAAAAAAACTTAATTGTCAATGTTTTAAGAGTTTATGAATTATTTTATCAAAATTAAAAGAAGATGGACTAAAGTGTTACTTAATAAAAAATTAAAGGACCACCAATGTCAATTACTCTTTTTTATTTTTACTTTTTTCTAACGCCTTGTGGGATGTGTATCGTGGTTATTGAAAAATTATACTATTTTCAATTGTTACGTATTTATACCAACAATCTGATTTGACGGAAAAACACCTACTAATTCCCATACTATACTTATCAAGTTATTTCATAAGTCATAAATGGTCCTACTCATGTTACATAAGCTAAAAAGGTCAAATTTTGTGCATAGTTGTTTGTATAATTAAAAAATATTTTCTTCCTAAACCCTAAGACATTTGAAAATATTTTAGATTCTAAAATATTTTTCATATATATGTAGAGTGGATTGGTTTGGAATTTGGATCGGTTACTTTTTATACTCAATTAGCAACAAATCTGTATATGTACTGACTTAAAAAAGTGTCATCTAATCCAATCTTGCATATTTTTTAATAGCCCTATGCTTGTGATAGGGATGGGTGGCGTACATCAATGCTCATTATCAGCTGTTAGCGATAATGACCATCGATCGGCAGTCATTATTGGAATTTGCTTTAAATGTATTATCATATTATTTTTAACCAAAAAAAAAGTCTGTTGAAACCTAAGCTTGGTTCTGGTGATAGAGTTCTCATACCTTTGCACCTTCAAATGCTACTCAGAGAGAGAGGAAGAAGAAGATGGAAATGGAGAAGAACACGAGAAGAATAGGGTATCATCTGGGCATACACGTTAAGTTTAAGGGATTAATTATCATGATTTTAAATTCAGAGACTGATTTGTCAAACACGTTAAGTTTAGAAGTATTCATGCAAAAAAATCATACTTTTTATCGTTATACTTTCACTTCTAATGGAATAACAAGTTGTTTAACTTTTTACCTTATATAAAATAAGCGGTTTAAATTCCACGAAAGTCCACCAAGAATATTCACACATGCTTGATGTTGAGAATTCATATTGACCAAAACAAGTATTTTGGAAGATAAGTTGGATAATTTCTTCAACAATAAATAATAAAAGAAAAGAGGCATAGAATAACTTTTGGTTTTCTATATGGCACACAATTTAACAACTGCATTCAGAATTAGTGTTGGAACTTTAGGCGGCACGCCTGCCCGAAACTTGAATTTTTTCGAGCTCGACGGGCAGGACCCTATGTCCGCCTGTCCAGCTTAGGTTTTTGGGCTCGGGCAGCTCGAAAAAATGATTTGAACCAAGCACACCGCCCGTTGATACCTCATGCCCGCCCTAAAGCCCGATCAATGGCTAGTTTTTTGACCGTTGTTGCCCGACCCGACAGCCACCCGAAAGCCCAACTTCAACGGCTCTATTTTGTGCCATTGCTCGAAAAACTCGATTCGCCAAGCAAAAAAATAGCCGTTGGATTAAAAAATTTAGGGAAAATTGATTTTTTTTAACCCAAAAATTTCTCTATAAATACCCTCATCCCCTAAACATTTTCTTCACAACATTTCTCACATTCTCTCTCAATCTATTTCACTTTTGTCTCAAATCTCTCTCACAATTTTTCCATAAGCTACAAGCTCACACAAAATCCTAAAGCTCTCTCTCTCAAAGTGCTCTCATTTCAAGTCTCAAAACTCTCAAAGCTCTTTTCAACTTTAAGCTCTCTCAAGCTCATTGTTTATTTTTTGTGTTTTTTGTTAATTAATTTTAATTTCTTTGTTAATTAATTTTAATTTCAACTTTAGTTATGGTGATAATCCTGTTGATCCCCAAAGTCCAACTCCTACTAATATTTTTACTACGCAGGAATCGCAAACACAAGCACTCGAGGAACAATGTCCAATTCTAAATCCTGGTCATAGTGGATCTAGTGGAGGTCATGGTCGCAATGGTGGGGGCGGAGAGGCAAGTACTACTGCTAGTGTTGCAACCTCCAAGAGGAAATGCAAGCGCACCTCCACAGTTTAGGAGCACTTCAACAGATTTGAGGAGGCCAATAATGACGGTAACACTAAACACATAGCTCAATGTAAATATTGTCATTCTAATTTACAAGGTGACACTATTCATGGCACAACACACTTGAGAAGACACTCTGAAAAGTGTCTTCAAAAGCATGGTCAAACCGGCGGATCCGAACTCTGCCAAACACAATTATCATTTGATCGCGCACCGGTGGTCTAACCACTTGAAAATACGATCCGCAAGTCGATCGTATTGAAGTTACGCGATTGATAGAAACATTGGATCAGCCACTTAGTTTTGTTGAGCATCCTAATTGGCACTAGTATATTAAAATTATACACAATCCTAATGCACAATTTTTTTTTTTCAAAAACTACTCTTAGGAAATATATGTTAAAATTATTTAAATAAGAAAAAGAAGTATTAATCAACCTTTTACACTCTACTAGCAGTTGCGTTGCGTTAATAGCAGATATTTGGTATGATGTTGTCAACAAAGATTATTTATCTGTAACCGGATATTATTTCAAAAGTTTCGATTTAAATTAGAGAATATTAGGTTTTAAATGTATTCTAGGATCACATAGCACCGATCTAATATATAATACAATTTTAAATGTTATTGATGAATATAGATTAAGGGATAGAGTGATTGTTATAATATTAGATAATGCTAGTGCAAATACTAAAGCAATTGAATATTTTGAAAATGATTTAAGTTTATTCGATGATGGTACTATATTTCACCAATACTGTGCATGTCATGTAATTAGTTTATTAGTAAAATCTGGTTTAAAATCAATGGCTACTCACATTAAAAGAATTAGAGATAGTATTGCATGGATTCAAGGTAGTAACCAAAGAGAACAAGATTGGTTTAGGATTTTACAAGCATTAAATCTAACTTCTAGAGCATTAGCCCTAGATATGCCTGTAAGATGGAACTTAATTTATATAATGCTTCATCAATGCCTCCCCTATAAAGATGCTATAACAAGCTATATCAGTGCAAAATTAAGAGTAAGACATATAAACATATATGATAAGCAAATTGATGAAACTTTGTATCAATTTTTATGTAGGTTTCATGAGTTACTTTAAAACTTAGTAAAACATATTACCCAACATCACCTTTAGCTTTAGATGAACTTTTAAGAATTAGTATGTTATTTAGTGAATTTAGCGTGGACCCAATTTTAGGAGTTCTTATCGCTTATATGGAAAAGAAATTTAAAAAATATTAATCTAAATTACTAATGTTGTATGGTTTCGGTATTATTTTTAATCCTAGATTAAAATTAGAAGGTTTAGAAAACTTAGGAGTATTTTTGAACATCGATTATTCTTACCAATATCCTATAATAAAGGATAAAATATTCTTTCTATAGTGTTTATGAGAATAGGTTTATAAACACCACTTATGGAGGAGAGGAACCGCAACAAAGAGATGAAAACCTGCATTCATTCATGAATGATTACGGGTTGAAAAAGAAGAAAACTCAAAAAGAAGTTGGGAGTGGATCGTCATCAAGAGGTGGTGGTGGTGATAGCGGCAGCGACGGCTTCAATGAGCTTATGGCGTACCTCAGCGAGAACTTAGTAGTCGACGATAGTATAGAAGTGTTTGATTTAGTTAAATGGTGGAGGGCACGAGCATTAACTTGACCAATCCTTACTCGATTGGCAATTGATATTTTTTCGATTCCAGTGTCCCCTGTTTCATCCGAACAATCCTTCAGTATGACCTGACGAATATTTGAGGAACGTTGAAACACATTGCAAAGGGATATAATAGAAGCTTTGGTGTACATTAACGATTAGGATCATGCCGATCAACGTTTACAAGATACAATTTCACCGACAAACTAAGAATGGCTAGATGAATTTAATAAATTAATATTTTATTTTGAAGACGATATTTCAGCTTCAAATTAAATTGTAATTTATAAATATTTATTTACTTTGGACATTGTAATTGTAATATTGTATATTTATACTTTGTAAATTTGTAAATTTTGTAATTCGTCACAAAATAATTACATTATTTTTTCTTTATTAATTTTTTTCTCAATTAGATTTTCCTTAATAAAATTTTTAACGAGATAAACATGAATTATAAATTTAAAAAGTAATAAACAAAATTAATTTTTTAAATTATGTTGATTTTAATCTTAATTATAATTTTTATATAATTTTTACAATAAATAACTTAATAAATATTTAAATACAAATATAATTAATAAACAATATTATATATAATATATATGCATTATTATAAATATTAAAAAAAATATATAAATATAAATATATATATATATAATTTAGGCTTTTCCGGACGGGCTCAAATTGCCCGACCAAACTCAGACAGTTAAGACTTGCCTGAAACCTAAAAGCCATCTCCTAAATTAATGAAAATACTTGGGTGATAATTGACACCTAAGACTTGCCCGAAACCTACTCAAGGTAGTTTTCAAGTTCAGACGGTCAGCCCAAATTTTTCAAGCGGGTGGACTCAAGCAAGAGCACAAATTCAGTTTTTTCAAACAGTCGTGAGTGGCCTATTCAAAGTTCTATCACTATTGAGAACAATTCATTTTTAGAGTTACCAAAAAGCCATCTCCTAAATTAATGAAAATACTTGGGTGATAATTGACACCTAAAAACTGTTAAAGAGTAGCAATGTACAAGGAAATGTCCCGTTATCTATTCAAAGATATAACATCTTCAAAATATAATCTTGGCTTCAAACTTATTTTGATCCTAAGAGATATATAAAATAGCAAGGAGACAAAATATTCACTAAACTAAAACATTATCTACAAAATGGAAGAGAAATGATTAAAACAGACGATTGTGAAAAGATTAAGGTTGGTTTGTTAAATCATTCCAAGGACTTGAGAAGCCTAAACAAAGCTGCTGCTTCTCTAATCCGCGAGAACTCGATGCAGAAGGCTTGAACTTCAATGAAGAGATCCTTAACTGCAAGGATAACCAAAAAATACATCAAAGACATTCACATTCATCAAAATAGGCAATGGAATCCATTAAAAATCAACAACTAATTACTCTAAGATCCAAAGTGAACTCACCATTGATAATGTTATTTCGGATAAGGCTTTGCAGGAAAACACATACGAGACGCACGAGTCTATTCTGCATGTACTTGTCCTGTGTAAAATGATTTTTCAAAATACACAAAAGTCAATATTGGATGGATAACCATAAGATACTTTGAGCCCGTTTAGTTCGCTAATTCGAGTTTTTAATTCGAGTTGAGATGTGACTGTTTCTGAGAACTTTTTACTGTAACAAAAAAATTAGGTGTGACTATTTCTGAGAGATTTTTACTGTAGCAAAACTAGAATTCTAAACTCGAATCGGTGAAATGAACGGGGCCTTTAATACCTCTCCCAACTACAAATGGGATTACCAAAAGATACTTTTAACATCTCAAACCATCGGAGTATTCAGACGGAAAAATGGTTCTCTAGACAATAAAAAACCAAGAACATGTAATATGGATCACAACTTAACATGCTTGAATCGACAATAGACAGTGCCCATGGCAGCAGAAATAGAAAGCTAACAAAAGCAGAAAGTGTAATTCTAATAGCAAAGTGGTGAGGTGAATTACCTTGATGTTCTCACAGGACGATATACAGTTAGTTATGTACATTCGTATGAACTCGGAAGGAAGCTCCACTGCAGTTGTAAGCCTATTCACAACCTCCATTGAGTGCAGGCTCATGTCCATGTTGACAAGCACTGTAAAGTAACTATGTTAAAGAAGAGATGTCAGAATAGACAAGTCAGAAATTATGCTGCCTCAGCAGAAATAGAAATAAAACAAAGTAAACGAAAGCACTGCCAAAGACATACTCTGCAATTTCAGGGGAGTTTATCAACTTAGTGAGAACTTCAACAGCAATAAGAGGATTATTTTCCACCAATTCCTGAAAAAGATATGCAGAATTATGATGAGAAACCCCAAAGATGCAATGCAAATGAACAGTTAGGGTAAAGAAACACATACTGGTAGCTTTCTTGGTGTGAGTCCACAATGATATACAAGTTTCGGGTCATTTGCTAATTCCAACAAGACTTGCTGGCCAATGCCAAGGAAAAACACAGGGTCATATATTGCTTCAAACGAGAGAAGTAATGTGATGGAAATTAAAATATTATGATTTCTCCATTATTCTTTAATAAACATAAACTCATCTATAGCAACTCTTAAGATTGAATATGATGTAAAACACAAAGGAAAGACTCAAAGCTGTTCTATTTACTCCCCTTCGCATCAATAGTGAAGCGCATCAATAGCGAAACGTATCAATAGTGAAGCTATTTTGTCAAATGTAGAGTTCCCTTCGTCCCAGAATTTCCAAGCACACACTCTTAGTGTTACCTATATTCTCACCCACATGCCACCCGGCATGAGCAAACAATTTTCATCGTCCCTCTATATTCCCACCAAACACACATATCATACACAAATGGATGCACCATTCCATTACTAGTGCCATAATGTGTCCTAACATCTTATATGTTATACATAAAACTGGGGCATTGATAGCATTTTGTTCATCTCATGCACAATGAGAATATATGACACATCAGACATTATTGCCTGGATTGATACACGCTTTAACACATAAAGAAACTTATAACATTAGCATTTGACTTGACGTGATATTTAAATTCGATGTTATGAATTCTATCTCAAGAATGGATTGACATATTATGTACTTTACACGAAGATAAAGTAAATGAGCACCTCCTGTTGGGAAGGAGCAAGTGGTCCCTTCAAGGCTTTTGCAATCAAGTCCCTCACTACCGTTCCTCTGCTGGTATCGACACACATACTGTAGTCCCATAAAAGTTCATGATTATCGCCGGGGTTTAGCCATACGAGCTGTAAGAGGACTAGGATGATTAGTTAAATACTCTAAATCACGCAATCAAAATGGGTCAGTCCATAGAAGCGGGGGAAAAGAGTAAAAAAGAAAGAACTCACTTCACCATCCTGAACCGGGAGTTGTGGAGGAATAGGACGGGCCCATGGAGGACCAAAGCCTTCCAGGGACAAGCTTGACAACAATCCAATGAGCGTCTCATCTCTATCACCAGAACCAAGCTTAGGTTTGGCTCCGTGTTGTAAATCAAACCTTGAAATAAGAATGTGTGTATATATATGCCTTTTAATGTGAAGTGGAAGCAAAAAAAAAAAAAAAAAAAAAAAAAAAAAAAAAAAAAAAAAAAAAAAAAGAAAAAAAAAAGAAGTGCGAATGGGGTTGGATTAAACTGACTCTGACGAGTTAGGATCAGAACAATGGGGAAGATCGGGGTCGGGAAGCGCATTTAAAAGGGAGGCATCCTTAAAAGGGCAATTAAAGGGTTCGACGTGAGCTTTAACGCCGTACTGTTGCTCCAACTGTTCTCGCTTGGGGAACACCTGATGACAAGCAAGTACGAAGGAACATTCATTTGCTTTTTGCTTGGTTCTTCTTTTCTTTATTTTTTAAACAAAATGAACGAACATTGTTATTCAAAGTGTTTTGAATTGTAAAATCTTATTATTTACATAACATAACAATTCATAATTCACAAATATGAATATACATACATGCAGTGAGAGTGAAGGATCAAAACTTTTGATGTAGTGGGAGGCGGATTGCTTAAGAAACTGCTGAAAAGAACAAACAAGAGGTCCGCTGTTCATTAATCCAAAATAGAAATTGAAAACGAAGTCTGTCCGTCATTTATTTTATTTAATAAAAAAAAAAACAACAAACCTCTTTGGAGTTAGGAGAGGGAGAGGAATCAGAGGATAATAGCTGGAGAATAAATGCCCTCTCATATCTTTCAGCTTCTTCATTACAAGCACCCTGATAAATGAGAGCGAATACCATATACAATCATCCTTCTTTTATATACATGTATATATATATATATATATAGATATATACGAGTCTGTGTATGAGTAGTATGAGTGACTTACAGTAATAAACAGAGGAAGGAAAGGATTATTAGAATTGGCAGAAGATTTGTTGTTGTAAGCCTGATGAAGAATGGCGAACCCAACCAAACGCTGTGCAGGGTTGAGCATCTTCTTGTCCTGGTGTCGAAATTCGTTTTCTTAATTTTAATTAATTTGATAAAATCACAAAACAAAAACCCTAATTTGAAAAAAAAAAGAAAAAAAAGAAGAAGAATTGAAAGCTTTTTGTTGGTCACCTGCAAAAGGGTGGAGAGAGAAAAGGAAACGACGAATTGGGAGAAGGAGAGGGCTGGGAAGGAGGATTCGAAGTCGGAGACGATTTCGAGGAAAGGGCGTTGGTCGGCTGCTCTCAGCAGATTGAACAGCTTCACACTTTCATCTGCGCTCAGCGTCATCTTCTTCTTCGTCTTCTTCTTACTACTGTTATTATTATTATTATTCTTCGTACTCATATTTTTCTCGCTCATTCTCTGTTATTCTCCAAGGAACCTGAAATCTCCAACTCTTTTCTTCCTTCCTCTTCTGCCTTTCCTTTGCTCTCTCGATCAAATCTCATTAAACTGCCCGTCTCACTCCTAAGTCCTGGGTATTGTTAACTCCCTCAACTCGACTGGGCTTCTCCTACTCTTCACGGCCCACACTCAGGCCCATTCCTTTTCCCCACTAATCTTCTCTTTCTTTCTTTTTCTACCCCACTCCTCCGTTCTTTATCTATCCTTTTCTATTTTTGAATCACACTTGCAGTTACAAAGAAGATCTTGTGAACCACCCAAATTAATCACGTTGTTGATTTTTTCTTTTTACAAAAATTGAAATATTATCTGCACACGGATTGTTGAATAAAGCATTTAATGTCGTTTTTTCCATTTCTATTTTATCAAATTTAAACCAAATCCAGAAATTTCTCTAAAATGTTGACATAACTTGTTTTTTACACCCAAAAGATATTCTTGGAACCATAGAAATTCTAATATATATATATATTGTATTGGTTTAATTTTGCTTGATAGGGATAACTAACGAGTGCCTGTAGTTTTCTATCGTTTAGTGTTTAGTGTTAGTGCTGCAACTTCAGGCGGCGGGCATGCCCGCTGCCTGAAAATTTTCGGGCACGGCGGGCAGGTGCCTCTCGCCGCCTGACCACGGTATTTTTCAGGCACGGGTTCGGGCAGCCCGAAAATATTCATTCCCCCGACTGTCCGCCGCCGTGGAGAAGTCGTCCCCAGCCGTTTGCCGGATTTTTTTGAATTTTCCGGCATTACTCGAAGTTGCCCGAATTTTTGTTGCTCGTGCCTAAATTTTTTTTACCGTAGCCCGAAAAATGCCCGAATTTTGAACCAAATGGATCTTTTTTGCCCGAATCCGACTCGAACCCGAATTTTGCCGAAAATTCGAACCCAATGGTCGGATTTTTTACCGTTGCTTGACCTGCCCGAAAATTATACTAGCCGTTGGACCTGAATTTTTTGGAGAAAATTTTTTTTTTCAACCCAAAAATTTTTCTATAAATACCCCCCTTCCCCCCAACCATTTTCCTCACCTAAAAACTCTCATTCTCTCTCAATTTATCTTAATCTCTCTTAATCTCTCTCAAATATATCTTAATCTCACTTAAATCTCTCTTCATTTCTCTTAATCTCTCTCAAAGCGCTCTCAATCTCTCTTATTTTTCATAATGGCTTCTTCTGGTTATGGTGGTGATATTCCCATTGATGCCCAATTCAACATCGAAGAAGGGCAATTTCTTAATGTTTTTCAAACGCAGGAATCGCAAACTATGGAAAGAGTTGCTGATGAAACTGTAAATCCGACCCCTGGTGGATGTACTAGAGGTCGGGGACGTAATAGTGGTGGCACTGGTGGCCGTGGAGGAGAGGCAAGCGATATAATTATTTTAGGAATCATATGTAGCCCAAGTAGGAGATTGTTAGGAAACGTGGGTTTCCTATATTGTGGGCCACATATTTATTCAATAATTATATTAAGCTATTTAATTATTAGGCTAATTAAGTGATCTAATTATGAAAAGTCCAAATAGTCTCCTAACAGGATGTGGGCAGAATGGGTGGATACCCATATTGACCCAACTAGGTTTAATGGGAGCCTAATGGGGCAGTATATAAAGAAACTTAGGTTATGGTCCTCAAAACGTCAAATTATTCGGCAGTTTTCATTCTTACCCATCTAGAGAGAAAACACCCTATTAAGGAACTAAGGAGATTTGATTGAGGAAGACAATAACCGTCGTGCTCGTTATCTTAGAGAATTCTACTGGAGATTCAAGGCTGCATCAATAGAGACAGATATTTATCCTAACTTATTTTCTTAATAATTTAGTGGGATGATTCCTAAAATGTGAAACATGGATTTAAAAGATCCAACATATTATAGTTATTTTTCTATTTATATTTTTTAAATTATTTTTCTACGTATCTATTATCTATTCTATTACTTTACTACTATATAAAATAGTAGAATTTAATGTGGTTTTTCTCTCTCTCTCTCTCTCTTTTCTCTTTTTTTTTTTTTTTTTTTTTTTTTTTTTGCTTTTGGTGTTTTTTTTTTTGCCTTCTTATTTTTTTTTTTTGTCTTTTCTTCCTCAAAGTTTATATTCATCATACTTACTCTTTTTTTTTTAACTTTTTTTTTCTTTCATTTATCCTAATTAATTTTTTTTTAAGGTTATAGATATTTCTTTCCAGTAGCGCTCTTATATATCGTGTTCTAAATATTTTTCTCACAAATTTCTTTCAACGTACAACCTTGACGCTTTTTTTGTTTTGTTTTTGCTTGTGGTGTTTTTTTAGCTTTTCATGTTCCTTTTTTTTCTTTTATTCCCCCAAATTTTATATTCTTCGTACTTACCATTCTTTTTAACTTCTTTCTTTTATTTATCTCAATTAATTTTTTTCTAAAGATTATTATACTAAGATGTTTGCTACTGGTATTGCTCTAATATATTGTGTATTAAAAGTTATTCTCACAATTTTCTTTCTAATTGTCTATTTGTCTCACTATAATAAAATTTCAAAAATATGCCCTTGCCCCCTTTTTTTTACCATCTTCTAGACCACTACTATCCTGCACATATAAAGAGTTGTCGTGGCTTTATTATTCCTTTTTTAGTCGTCTAAAACGAGTTGTTTTGGCTCTTTTTTTTTTTTATTACTTTGAAAATGATGTTGACTCTTTTTTAAGAATATTTCATGTATTTTTACAATTAATCATAACATTTTCGCTGAATGTACTTCTCTAAAAAAATAAAAGATTATGTGTGGGATATTTAAACTCTACATTTTATTGTAGAGTTAGGTGTGCAATCTTCGTTAGAACATGCATACTACCATTTAATATATACTCTTTTTTAATCTCTATGTAAAAATCTTCATATATATTTTTTCTTACTTATTGTTGTTTGTATTTTATGTTATAAAAACTTCAATTATAACTAATGTACCAAAACTAATATACCATTATAAAAGAGAGAGTGTTTTTCTTTTGCACTAGAATAATGTTAGGAATATAAACTCAAATCTAAACTCTTGTGTACCAACTGATGTAGCATGTAAGTTATCATTTTACTATTAATGGGTGTTTAAAATATTACCACATCAATAATAAAAGAGATTACATCTACATATGAAAAGATGACAACTCATGCGCTAAATTAGTTGATACATAAAAATTAAAATTTGAGTTGGTATTATTACCATTACTCTTTGTACTATATAATTTGATCAAGTTGTTTTGTCTTCTAACGCTTTACCATTTTTTCCTTTATTATTAAAAAGATAAAACAACGTGTGTGGGAGGGGACATAATGATTTTATTTTTAATACAAAAATAAAAATGAAATTATTTTAAGAATTATTATAAGACTAATTTTGAAATTGCGTTTGATTAATTTTTTAAAAAATTATTTTGAATATAATAAAAAAGTGAAATAGTATTTAATTTAATTATTAATTAATATATTATAATATTATTGATAAATACTAAAAATGAAAACAGAAAAATAAAAATAATTTTTAACTGTTTTTTAATTTTTTTATAAAAATTAATTTTATTGTTATTTATTTTATTTTTATTTTTAAAATATTTACTTAACAAATATGGTTTTCATTTTTGTTTTTCAAAAAATGTGTAGAAATGTTTTAGAAAATAAGTAAAAATTAATTCTGAACGCCCAACGAGTGAAAGCCATGTGTACGCCTGTATAATTTAGGTGACAGTCACAAGACCGAATAATGAATTGATTGAGAATTATTTCTTTTTTATTTCTGAAAAAAAAAAAAGAATAAAAGATCGTATTGGTTGCGCTCCTGTGGGCCAACGTGCTGAGTAAGTATACGTAGGAGTGGATTGGGCCCTTTGAGATAACGCCCATATTGTCATTAATGCTATGTTTAATAAGAAAGAAAGAAAATATGAGAAGTGATGAAAAATAAAAATGATAGAAAGGAATTTAATTTTTTTTTATATTGTTTAGTATGAAAAAATAAAAAAAAATGAGTTTATTTTTACTTATTTGGTATTAGAAGTTAAATTAAAAGGAAAGAAAAAATCTTACTCATAAATTATTTTTATACCCTTAAATTTTTTACTTGAATGTTGATAAAGAAAAGAGTAATTTAGTAACTTTATTCACTTTAATGAATTGTCTCAATTTATCATCTCATTTTCTGCCCACTTATAAAAAGAAAAAAAATAATAAAACCCACATGTATTATTTTTCACTCCATTTTTCATTTCTTTTTCTTTTTTCTCTTACCAAACAACCTATATTTTTATTTTTCCACCCAAAATCTCTTCACCTTCTTCCTTCCTTCTACTTTTCTTTCCTACCAAACATAACTTCCCAATCCTAATCGCCCCGCCTCCCATCAATGAATGCTGAATGAATGAATGTGTGTTTATATATATTAAACAAACAAGTAACCACCGGCCACCCACCCACCCACCCCCAATATTTCATTCATTCATAATGTCGAGCTCCGACTCCGACGGCGTAAGAGATGGAAATCGTCTGCCGTGGGTGACCCGTATGACCGTCTCATTCCTCTCCTTCGTCACTGACACTTCTCGTCGCTCCAACGGCACCGTCAATCGCCGCTTCCTCCGCTTCTTCGACATCCGATCCCCTCCCACTCCCGATCCCAAACCCAACGCCACTGGCTCACGATCCGTCTCCACCTCCGACGTCACCGTCGATCCCTCTCGCGACCTCTGGTTCCGCCTCTTCATCCCGGCCACCGCCTCCTCCGCCGCTCCCAAATCCCTCCCGGTACTCGTCTTCTTCCACGGCGGCGGCTTCGTCTTCCTCAGTCCTGACTGTTTTGCCTACGACGCCGTCTGCCGAAAGATGGCTCGCAAGATTCCGGCTGTCGTGGTGTCCGTCAACTATAGGCTTTCTCCGGAGCACCGCTGTCCCTCCCAATACGACGACGGATTCGACGTCCTCAAATTCCTCGACGTAAATCACGACGGCGTTCTGCCCAAGGCGGCCGACTTGTCAAGGTGCTTTCTGGCGGGAGACAGCGCCGGCGCCAACCTGGCTCACCACGTGGCGGTGCGGGTGGCGAGGAAGGGCGGCTCGTCGTCGTCGTCAAATCTGGGCGCCGTTCGGGTGGAGGGGCTCATAGCGATACAGCCGTTCTTCGGGGGAGAGGAGAGGACGGAGGCAGAGATGAGACTCCCGCGGGGCCCGGTGGTGACGGTGGAGAGAACGGACTGGATGTGGAAGGCGTGCTTGCCGGAGGGGGCGAGTAGGGACCATCCGTTCTGCAACGTGAGTGGAACCCTGGCGGAGGACATATCGGGATTGGAGGAATTTCCTGATCGGACGGTGGTGGTAGTTGGGGGGCTGGACCCACTTCAGGACTGGCAGAGGAAGTACTACGAGTGGTTGAGGCGCTCCGGCAAGGATGCACGGCTTCTGGAGTATCCGAGGATGATTCACGCTTTCTACATCTTTCCCGAGTTGCCCGACTCAACTCACCTCCTCACTCAACTCAGGGACTTCATCTACAATCCCACCACCAACTCCAACTCCAACTCACCAACAACTCACTGTCATTGATCCTTTCTTTCTTTATTTCTTTCTTTATTTTCCTTTTTTTGGCGTTTTCTGATGAGGAAATGGAATGGGAAAGATAGAGAAAGGAACTGCTTTAATTACTAGTCAAAGACCGCGGCTGTATTAGTTGTATTATTTCCTAATATTTCGGTGCGATTAATACCTACTTGGCTGACCTTTCCTATGCAGTGCAAATTTTTTTCCCTCCTTTTTTTCTTTTTCCATCCAATTTTAAGATATTCTGTGACAGTGCCAGATTAGACCTTGGTTGGTTTTAATTCATTTGCACGTGTGAGATTCAATGGCATAGTTGAATTATTTTAAAATTTTCATTACGAAGATCAATTTCGATCTACTGACTATTCATTTTTAAAATTACTTCCTTACATTGTAAACTCTAATATTTACTAAATTTTAATCATAAGATGAGTAGGTGATAATAAATTGAGTAGTTGATAAAAAAAAATATTATGAGAATTAATGAGATTGATTTTTATCTTCATTAAATTTAAAAATTTAATAAATGGCGTGTATATTAAATTAAAAAAAAATTATGAGAATTAATGAGATTCAATGGCATAGTTGAATCATTTGATGCATAATTTCATTTTCTTTGATCCATGAAATGTGTTGGACCATTCATATTACAAGTTGGATCATTTGATGCATAATTAATGAGATCTACAAAATGGATCTCTATTATTATGTTTTAGCGGTATATATATATTGCATCATCGGAATACGGTATTATGGACTACTGACTCTGGATGGTTAGTGCTAAAACATCACAAACTTATTGACGCCAGCTTTATTTTGAATACCCAAAACTTGGAAGAACCAAGCTCTTTCCAAAGCAAATTATAAGGGGCTTAGAAAAATTTTGGGAAGAAATGGAATCATTTGTACACATGGGAAGTTAAGTTACATGTTTTGTAATTAGTTTTCAACCGCTCTTTTCCGCTCTTGGAAATTAGCAGGTTTTGAAGCTTTCACCTTTTTGGTGTTGAATTAAGTGGGTCAATTTGTTGAGTTCTATAGGTTTTTGATATAATTTGTTTTCATATTTGGAATATATTATTATTATTTTTTTGCTAAAAATTAGGTTAGTCGATAAGCTATCAGTAGTTTACATATTGCTCCGAAGCAAATTAAACAAATATGACACAAGCTAATCATTGAAGAAGCAGCACAGAAACTCACATCACTGTTATGTTTCTTTTTGGGCTGAAAGTAATGAAATGGCTCAAGCCCAATTTCAGAACCAGCCAAATAAACAACTAAAGACAGGTTCTTCACACGTTTAGCTAAATTGAAATACTTATGTTGACATATGGTTAAGTTTTCGAAATATATTAAAAATTACAAGATTCGATATCATCAAAATAACAAAATATGACACAATTATAAAATTTTTGTTATTTTTATGATGTTTTAAAAATTATGATAAATTAATTAGGGTTTAGAGTTTAGGGGCTCAGGTGTTAGGGTTTCGAGTTTACGGTTTTCGGGTTTGAGATTTGGGATTTGGGGGTTGGGTGGATTAGGGGTTGGGGTTGGGGTCTGGGGTTTGGGATTTTTGGGGTTTAGGGTTTAGAGATTTGGGAGTTAGGGGTTGGGAGTTGGGGGTTAGGGGTTGCGGGTAGCGGGTTTGGGGTTTGGCATTTGGCATTTGGGGTTATGGGTTAAGGGGTTAGGGGTTTAGGGTTACAGTTTGGGGGTTTTGGGGGATTTGGGGGTTGGGAGTTGGGGGTTAGGGGTTGTGGGTTGGGAGTTGGGGGTTAGGGGATGCGGGTTTCGTGTTTGGGGTTTGGGGTTAAGGGTTAAGGGGTTAGGGGCTAGGGGAGTTTAGGGTTGGGGGTTTGTAGTTTGGGGTTGGGGGTTTATGGTTTGGGGTTTGGGTTTTAGGGTTTTAAGGTTTAGGATTTAGGGTTTAGGGTTTTAAGGTTTGGGATTTGGGGTTTTTGGGTTTAGGGTTTAAGGATTACAGGGTGTTTGAGGTTTGAGGTTAAGGGTTAGGGGGTTTGGGGTTTAGGGGTAGGGGTTGGGGGTTTTGGGGTTAGGGATTTAAGGTTAGAAGTTTGGGGTCTAGGGTTTAGGATATAGGTTCTTGGGGTGGGGGGTTTGGGGTGTTAGGGGTTTAGGGTCTAGGGATCTTGGGTCTAAGGTCTAGGGATTAGGATCTAGGGTCTTGGGGTTCGGGGGCTTAGAGTTTAGGGGTTTGGAGTTTAGGGTTTAGGGTATTATTTCTTTTTTATTTCTGGTTTAGGGTTTAGGGGTTTAGGGTTTAGGGTTTAGGGTTTGGGGTTTTGGGGTTTTGGGTTTGGGGTTTGGGGTTTGGGGTTTAGGGTTAGGGGTTTGGGGTTTAGGGTTAGGGGTTAGGGGGTTAGGGTTAGGGTTTAGGGTTTAGGGTTTAGGGTTTAGGGTTTAGGGTTTAGGGTTTGGGGTTTAGGGTTTTGGGTTTGGGGTTAAGGGTTTGGGGTTTGGGGTTTTGGGTTTAGGGTTCCGAGTTTAGGGTTTGGGGTTTGGGGTTTTTGGTTTGGGGTCTAGGGTTTGGGGTTTGGGGTTTAGGGTTTGGGGTTTGGATTTTAGGGTTTGGGGTTTGGGGTTTCAGGTTTGGGGTTTAGGGTTTAGGGTTTAGGGTTTCTGGTTCAGGGTTTGGGGTTTGGGGTTTGGGGTTTGGGGTTTTGTGTTTAGGGTTCAGGGTTCTGGGCTCAGGGCTCAGGGTGCAGTGTTTAGGGCTAGGGGCTCAGGGTTCAGGGTTAAGGGTTCAGGGTTCATGGTTCAGTGTTAAGGGTTCAGGGTTCAGGGCTCGGGGTTCAGGGGACATGGTTCAGGGTTCAGGGTTAACGGTTCAGGGTTTAGGGTTGTGGTTTTACGGTTTAGGATTTGGGGTTTGGGGTTTAGGGTTCGGGGTTCAGGGTTCGGCGTTCGGGGTTCAGGGTTCGGGGTTCAAGGTTCGGGGTTCACGGTTCACGGTTCAGGGGTTAGGGTTCGGGGTTCACGGTTCAAGGTTCACGGTTCAGGGTTCAGGGTTCAGGATTCAGGGTTCAGGGTTTAGGCTTCTTGGTTCTGGGTTCAGGGTTCAGGATTCAGGGTTCAGGGTTTAGGGTTCTGGGTTCAGGGTTGGGGGTTTAGGGGGTTTTGGGTTTAGGGTTCAGGGTTCAGGGTTCGGAGTTCGGGGTTCAGGGATCGGGGTTCAGTGTTTGGGGTTCGTGGTTTGGGGTTCGGGGTTCAGGGTTTAGGGTTTAGGGTTTGGGGTTTAGGGTTTAGGGTTTGGGGTTTTGGGTTTGGGGTTTAGGGTTTGGGGTTTGGGGTTTGGGGTTTGGGGTTTAGGGTTTGGGGTTTTTTGTTTGGGGTTTAGGGTTTGGGGTTTTGGTTTAGGGTTTAGGGTTTAGGGTTTGGGGTTTGGGTTTTAGGGTTTGGGGTTTGGGGTTTGGGGTTTGGGATATGGTGTTTGGGGTTTAGGGTTCAGGGTTCTGGGCTCAGGGCTCAGGGCTCAGGGCGCAGGGTTTAGGGCTAGGGGCTCAGGGTTCAGGGTTCAGCGTTATGGTTCAGTGTTAAGGGTACAGGGTTTAGGGCTCGGGATTCAGGGGACATGGTTCAGGGTTTAGGGTTCGGGGTTTAGGGTTCAGGGTTGAGGGTTTACGGTTTAGGATTTGGGGTTTGTGGTTTAGGGTTCGGGGTTCAGGGTTCGAGGTCCGGGTTCACGGTTCATGGTTCAGGGTTCACGGTTCACAGTTCAGGGTTCAGGGTTCACGGTTCAGGGTTCATGATTCAGGGTTCAGGGTTTAGGGTTTTGGGTTCAAGGTTGGGGATTTAGGGGGTTTTGGGTTCAGGGTTCAGGGTTCAGGGTTCAGGGTTCACGGTTCACAGTTCAGGGTTCAGGGTTCACGGTTCACAGTTCAGGGTTCAGGGTTCACGGTTCACAGTTCAGGGTTCAGGGTTCACGGTTCACAGTTCAGGGTTCAGGGTTCACGGTTCACAGTTCAGGGTTCAGGGTTCACGGTTCACAGTTCAGGGTTCAGGGTTCACGGTTCACAGTTCAGGGTTCAGGGTTCACGGTTCACAATTCAGTGTTCAGGTTATGGGTTGAGGGTGCAGGGTTCATGGTTTAGGGTTCAGGGTTTAGGGTTCAGGGTTCTGGGCTCTGGGCTCAGGGTGCAGGGTTAGGGCTAGGGGCTCAGGGTTAAGGGTTCAGTGTTTAGTGTTCATGGTTCAATGTTAAGGGTTCAGGGTTTAGGGTTCAGGGTTCAGGGTTCAGGGTTTAGTGTTCAGGGTTCAGGGTTCAGGGTTTTGGGTTCTGGGGTCTAGGTTCAAGGTTGGGGGTTTAGGGGGTTTTGGGTTCAGGGTTCGGGGTTCGAGGTTCGGGTTCACGGTTCACGGTTCAGGGTTCAGGGATCAGGGTTCGGGGTTTAGGGTTCGGGGTCACGGTTCAGGGTTCAGGGATCAGGGTTCGGGGTTTAGGGTTCGGGGTCACGGTTCAGGGTTCAGGGATCAGGGTTCGGGGTTTAGGGTTCGGGGTCACGGTTCAGGGTTCAGGGATCAGGGTTCGGGGTTTAGGGTTCGGGGTCACGGTTCAGGGTTCAGGGATCAGGGTTCGGGGTTTAGGGTTCGGGGTCACGGTTCAGGGTTCAGGGATCAGGGTTCGGGGTTTAGGGTTCGGGGTCACGGTTCAGGGTTCAGGGATCAGGGTTCGGGGTTTAGGGTTCGGGGTCACGGTTCAGGGTTCAGGGATCAGGGTTCGGGGTTTAGGGTTCGGGGTCACGGTTCAGGGTTCAGGGATCAGGGTTCGGGGTTTAGGGTTCGGGGTCACGGTTCAGGGTTCAGGGATCAGGGTTCGGGGTTTAGGGTTCGGGGTCACGGTTCAGGGTTCAGGGATCAGGGTTCGGGGTTTAGGGTTCGGGGTCACGGTTCAGGGTTCAGGGATCAGGGTTCGGGGTTTAGGGTTCGGGGTCACGGTTCAGGGTTCAGGGATCAGGGTTCGGGGTTTAGGGTTCGGGGTCACGGTTCAGGGTTCAGGGATCAGGGTTCGGGGTTTAGGGTTCGGGGTCACGGTTCAGGGTTCAGGGATCAGGGTTCGGGGTTTAGGGTTCGGGGTCACGGTTCAGGGTTCAGGGATCAGGGTTCGGGGTTTAGGGTTCGGGGTCACGGTTCAGGGTTCAGGGATCAGGGTTCGGGGTTTAGGGTTCGGGGTC